TAATGTACAGTATGTGGAAAATAATGTGTTTTTTTTACTTTAAACTGCATAAACACATTTCATTACACCAAATACACCAAATAATGTTCTTTTTAGCAGCATCATATGGCCCCTTTAAACGTCCTTCAGCCAATAAGAATCAAGCATTCTAGACTGCTATGTTATATAATGGACTAATTAGTGTGGGAAAAAATCCAATGGAACATAATGCTTGTTAATGTAAAGAGTGTACAAACAATGGGCATATACGGACTGCATGTAATATTAGAAACCACTTTGTTAGATTTATTGTCTATTGATTTCTCTGAATGTGGAACAATAGGAGGTGGAACATGCACTATATTGTAAAAAGGAAGCAGGCAGAAAATACCTAAATAGCACTTAATAGAAAACCTTTGGTGTTTAAAAAATTGAGCTTGTGTTATCTTAAGGAAAATACCTTTTATTTATTTATTTATTTATTTATGCTACTGTGCTTATTGTGTGAAACACAGTGTTTCCTAAAGAACAGGCATTTTAATCTTTAAATATCATACTAAACTATCTACTTTGGTCAAACTATCTCATCACATGTTTTGCAGGGAAGTTGGTTGGCCTGCTTGAACAGTGACGCTTCATTTACATAGCTCTTTAACTTTATCACAGTTTTTGTTATTTCCTTTTGTTGTATGTAGTTCCTAGTGCTTAGCTTTCATGTTCAGGTAATCTCGCTGATAGAAGAATTCATAGTCATGATAGACCACTGCATGGATCATCAGATGTGTGACCTTTCCCCTACAGCATGATTCCACAAGGAAAACACGTCATTTCCACATGCTGTCATAAAGATAACCGCTCTAAAATCAGAAAAAGTGTGCCACCCTCTGACCCCTCAGGTGATGGGTTTTATGCGTAATTTGTGTATTTAATAAACATTTCTAATATTTAATCTTCTGATTAAATGGTTAAACAGTTCCTAGTGGTCTATAGTCAGCTCATTAGGAGAAAAATATTGTTGTGACTCACTGTTACATTTGAGTCACCTGACTTGTGTCTTGGATTGAGTGTTCCTTGGTTTATTTACTGTGTACATAAATGCATGAGGTA